TATTAAGGCCCCTACATATATATATATATATATTAGGCTTTAGAGGCTTCAGGAGGAGGTCCCTGAAGCCGAAGACCTCTGAGCCTAAACCCCTCATTCTGCGCAGCGGGTCGGAGAATTGCAGCCATGACGGGTGGTAGGACGAAGCGTTATGGCGCCGCATTTCGATGCCAGACATGGCTCAAGCAAGGAATCACAAGTCAACCCTTCTATACCCCTATATAACCCTAAACCCCAAACCCTAACATAGTCTCACAAAGCCCCTATATAACCCCTCAAGGGTCCCTGTAAGGGTCCCTCCATTAGTCCCTTGAAAAAGGGATAGGCCAGGCTTTCAAGGCTGAAGGCAGGCCCCTGAACATAAGGGTTTAGTTAGGGCTTAGGGCCCTCAGGGTTTAGCTAGGGTTTAGGGTTTAGGGCCCTCAGGGTTTAGTTAGGGTTTAGGGTTTAGGGCTTGCAGGGTTTAGGGTCTACTTTTCAAAGTCTAAGGCTCAAGGTCCCTTTTAAGGTTTGGGGTGTAGGGTCCCTTCAAGGGGCTGCAAGGATTTGGGGCGGTAAAGGTGTGTCAAAAGGGTTTAGGGTTAAGGGTTTAGGAAAGGCCCGATAAGCCAACACAAAACGATGGCTTCGGCAACAGAAGGACAGACTCATCACAGCCAAATTGAAGCTAATGCCAATATCACAGCCCATACCTGAAATCTGCGATGCAGTAAACCATTGAGGCCATAGAGATCCCTTGGGGGAAGAGGGCCGCACAAAGAAAACATCCCCAAAACCTTTAAAATTCACTACGTACAGTAGGAAAACTGGGCCCCCCAGAGTGCCCCTTTCTGTCAGGGAACCCTAAACTTGAAGGCACCGTTGTAGTTTAGTGTTTAGGGCCTACCCTCTAGTAGGCCTCATAGTAGTTCCTCTTTGTGGCTTATAATTAGGATTCTAATAGGAATCCCAAGAAGGAACTACTATGGGGCCTATGCGTAAGGCTTAGGGCTATAGGGGTTCATAATGAACCCTGTAAGGGATCCCCGTAAGACAATCCGAACCAAGAAGTCTTCTCGCCACTGGATCCTACCAACCCCAAAACCCCCGAGGTGTCGAAAGCTCAGAGGGCTTCAGCTTAGGGTTTAGGGTTTAGGGTTTTTGGTTTAGGGGTTTAAGGTTTAGGGCTTACGGGTGTTGGCTTTAGCGCCGTTTGTTGCCGAGGTGGTTTATATACATACGCTCCATTATAGTTCCTTTTGGGAGTACCTTATAGGGTTCTTAAGATAAATGACAAAACGAAACTACGATGGAGCCTATGGGTAAGGCTCATAAGTTTATGATTTACAGCAATTCCCAGAAAGTTAGAACATGGTTTTAGGAGGATTCGTGCTAGAATCCCTTATGCTGTGCCTTGAGGGCATGAGGATAGTCATGTTCCAACTTTCTGGCTTCTACTATAGGGGGAAGGGGCGCCGGACCCCTAAACCCTAAACCCTAACAAGTAAAACATAAATGACGAGCCCAGCATCCCGACACTCCGAGTGGAGCTCCGAGTACTATAGGGGCCTTAAGAATTAGAATAGGGTTTTGGGCGCCTTTATAGTATAAGTATAATAAGGANNCCCCCCCCCCCCAACAAAAAAAAAGTTAGGTATGTATTTAGGCCCCGATATCACCCTGCGCTTGTTTGGTGCACCTAAACTTGCAAGGAATGAGTAGGGCTTTGGGTTTACGGCTTCCAACTTTTCGGGCTCGGTGCAGCAGGGCGTTTAGGGAAGTTTAGGTTGAGGGATTATTTGGTCCTACGTCACAAACCCTCAATCCGAGTATAGAAACCCTAAACCCTGATAAGATAGAAACCCTAAACCGTTCATGCCCTCAACAAGCCCTAATACCCTAAATCCCACGAAAGACAGCCTCGAGAAGCGGCGGGGCCAAGGGAAGCAAAAGCCGCTCTGTGCAGCGAAGCAAAGATGCGATCGCCGCAGGATGCAAGTTCGCCGCCCCTCCTTTGGAGGCTTCGGGTCGGGTTTAGGTTACACCTGTAGTCTCCATTGTAGCTCCTTTTTGGGGATACCGTATAAAATCCTTAATATATAATTGGTTAAACCAAAAAAATAAAAAGGAACTACAATGGAGACTATAGGCAGGGTATATAGTATACCTGGACCCTCAATCTATGTAGAATACTGGCCGCTTATAGGTGTTGGGTCATTAGTTTCCTTACTTTGGGGGGTTTAGGTAGGGTTTAGGGTTTCGGCGCGGGGACACCCGCAGTTTTCAGGCCAGGGTTTCGGGTTTAGGGGTTCAGGGTTTAGGGTTTAGGGTTTAGGGTTTAGGGTTTAGGGGTTTAGGGTTTAGGGTTTAGGGTTTCGGGTTTAGGGGTTTATGGTTGAGAGTGAAACCTGTTGATACAACTATAAACCTAGCAATGAACCTAGCAACATGGAAACCAATTGCTCAAGACTTGAACTTCGGGTTTTATAAGTGTCGGTCTGCGTAGACGGCGTAGACGACCCAGGGATCTAGCAATTAGGATTAGGAATATCAACATAAGTAAAATTAACTACAGACAAGTGCCACGAAGAATGAAACGCATGGGGGGGTCTTTCACAGCCGCGATGCAAACAGCACCCCTAAAAGACCTCAAAGCCTCGACCCTGAAAGGCCAAACAAACCCTGAACCCTAAAGCGTTTCGAAGTTCTGGCCGCTGGCTGCCCAGTTACAAGCCACACGAACCCAAGATGTCAACTTCATAGGGTTGGGTTTATATAGGGCTTGGATTTGTTGGTGATTTTGCCTCATAGTATTTTGACCCACAAAGGTTTGACCTTACAAAATCAGCCGCCGAGAATATCATGACTCAACCAACCTCGGATCTGAAAGGAGCCCTCATCATGATGGTCAGTAAATCTCTGACATTACGAATAGTGCTGAAGATTCCGGAATTCAATAGCTGCCCAAGCCCCCCTAGACTCTAAATCCTAAGCTCTAAATTAGCCAAAACCCCTAAATCCTGATTAGGCTTTTTCGGCTTAGCGCTTTGGGACTGACAGTCGCCGTAGAGCTCCTTTCAACACCAGCTCCGCTAGTTTGTGGCTCACTGCCTTCTCTGGGTCTGTGGCCTGGGCGAAGCTGGACGTTTTTTCCCTTACGGGTTTAGACGAGCCTGCATTGCAGGGTTAAGTCAGAAAGCACAACAGATAATGGCAGAGGTGGGCGGTTTAGGGTTTAGGGTTGGGCGTGGCTTCGGGAAAAGGGCCTCTCGAGCAGATGGTTCAAGGTTTCATAGGAACAAATACGCCGGAAAGGTAGACGAAATGCTCGAAATCTTAAGCCTCAAACGCCCTAAACGCAAACCCTCGACCCTAAACCCCTATATACACTAAACCCTGAACCCCTGAAGCTTATGCGTGTCTTCCGAGCCCCGGGCCCTGCGAGCTGATCCGAGCAGGGTTTTTCACTATGTCTACGTAGCAAGCCGCCTTGAAAACTCTTCTGCCAAAACACTTCTGGGTTTAGGGGGCTTGGGGTTTTTACTGTAGGTGTTGGAGTTTGCAGGTTGAGGGCTCTCTCCGCTCTCTCTCTCTCTCTCTCTCTGTCTTTCGCCATGGTTGTCTCTCTCTCTCTCTCTCGCTCCCTTGGTCTCTAGAGGCTCACACTGAGCCCTAGTATTCACGATGCAGGTGGTGTGGCTACGCCCGGGCTGCTGGCTTCGGGTTTTCAAGTGCTCTGTGTGTTAATGCCCCAATTACTCGAAGCTTCCCTTGCAAAGCAATACGTGGGCCCTTCCCCTTATAACCCCTCCTCCCAACCCTCAAACATGTCAAGGATCACGGGACCTCGTCAGCAGGGTTATCATCGAAAACAGCACTCAGAAGCACAACACGTCTAAACAAAACCCTGAGCAGACACGCAGAGAAACCTTAAAGCACACATGCAAAGATCATAGACCTCAAGTGATGAACCAAGGACATTTCGAATTTCATGCCGAATTTACTAAACCCTATAGGGAGTTCGGACATTTTATAGGAACTGATCAAACTCATGGGCATCGTGGGGGCTTTTGGATTTTAGAGAGGCCGGGGTTCGTGGTTTTTTTTTAAGTCAGCTCTCCGGGGCTCAGGAGGTTTAGGGTTTAGGGTTTAGGGTTTAGGGTTTAGGGTTTAGGGGGGTTTCGGGTTTCCCGGAAGGTTACGTAAGGCTTAGAGCTGAACTTGCAATCTGAGCCCAGCTACATCTGTAGGGCCCCAAAAAAACACGGAAGCAAGAATTAGGATAAGGATATCCCATCTAAACCCCCCCTTGTAATGAAGCCCTATGAGGTAGGGATATCCCGATAAAATGCTTATGCTTATGTCCTTTTGGGGTTCCTATATCTGAACCGGCCTTCTGCCCTAAGAACGCCAATGGGATTTCCAAACCCTTAAGCTGTTGTCACTGTCGTCAGAAGATATTCCATCTGAACCTGCCTTCTGCCCTAAGAGGTTTAGGGTTTAGGGTTTTGGGGTTTTGGGTTTAGGGCTTTTTGGGTCTAGGGTTTAGGGTTTAGGGTTTAGGGGTTTAGGGGTTTAGGGTTTAGGCTGTTGTCACTGTCGTCAGAAGATATCGGTCCACTCTGTCAGTTGCGGCTCAGGCTTTAATTTAGGGGCCTGAAAGAATACGCGGGAATGTCATAAACCCGAAACCCTAAACCCTCAGTGGCCCTGAACCCTGAATCCCAAACCCTAAGCGGCCCTAAATAACCCCAAGCCCTACACCCTAAGTGGCCCTAAACCCAAAACCCTAAGCGGCCCTAAACCCCAAACCCAAAGCCTTTAAGCGGCCCTAAACCCAAAACCCTAAACGGCCCCAAAACCCAAGACCTAAAACCCATAAATCCTAAACCCCTAAGCCCTAAACCCTAGTTTAATACCCTAAACCCAAACCCTAAACCCCCAAACCCTAAGCCTTTAAACGGCCCTAAGCCCAAAACTCCAAACGGCCCTAAAACCCAACACCCTAAACCCCTAGACCCTTAAACCCTAATACCCTAAACCCATAAACCCCAGACCCCCCAGACCCTCAACCCAAAACTTTATAAACCCTAGTTGAAAAGCCTCCTCGGCCAGGCTGTGGGCATAGGCCGTCATGAGAGTCGCCGCAGCTGCGCTGTCCTGCGAGGAATTCTGAGGCCTTCGGTTTAGGGTTTAGGGGTTCTGGGGTTTTGGGGTTTAGGGTATTAGGGTATTAGGGTATTAGGGGTTTAGGATTTAGGGGTTTAGGGTTTAGGGGTTTAGGGGTTTGGGGTGTAGGGGTTTAGGATTTGACCATCTGTGGTTGATAGTGGTGAAATTGGTTATAAGCGTACAGAATCATGATCAGCTCATCCCTTCTTTTTTGTTTGTGAATATAATATATAGTTAGGACTCGAAACATCTGTTGAGTCTGCCGACAGCCATAGACCGTGTTGCTCACATTGCTGTTCTGCATGCTTGGCACTGAACCCTAAACCCTTTAGGGTTTAGGGTTATGATTTCCAGGCTCCTATTCCAACCAGGCGTTTAACGTCAACCATGAAGCCGGAAAGCTGTAGAAGCCCCAGAGCCATCCATCCCTATACAACCGTAAAGACCTTCTAAGGAGCCGCTTACCAAAGCCTTCAAAGGCCCTGGAACCCCAAACTCTACCCTAAACCCTAAGCCCCTAAACCCCAAACTCTAGACCACACCCCCCTGACATCTTTGCCACGAGATCCCAAACCATCCAAAACACCAAACCGCTCTAGAAGATTCTACAGAACCGTTACCAGAGCCCTCTAAACTCGTAACCCTAAACTCCTATAAACCCTAAGCCCTAAACCCTAAACCATGAAACCCTAAAGCTCTAAAACCTAAACCCTGAAACCCTAAGAAACTCTAAAGCTCTCAAAACCTTCAACAGAAAACCCGAAGCAGGACCAGCCTTGGCTGCGAGGACCCGCTCGGCCAGAGATGGGAGGAGCCTTGGCTGAGAGTTGAGAGGGGGTTGAAGCATACAAACATATGTATATATATATATATACAGACATGTGAATTTTAAATATGTGTGTGTGTGTGCACATAGTTAAATGACTAAACTCATGTATATCTAAATAAGTGTTTTTAAGCATGAATGAATATAATATGTACACATATATTTTTATACATGAATATATATATATATATAATATTTATACACACACACACACTCTCTCTCTCTCTCTATCTATACACACGTTTATTTACAATGCATGAAAATGACAAGTTTTTGGTTTTGTCTGTTCCCCCTTTTTACCCTGCTGTGACAGTTGAAAACGCCCAGCTAGCTGGCGCCTCCAATAGGGGCTAAGGGTTTTCTGCTGGGACGGCTTATGGTTGGGGCTTACAGCGTGTTTCGGGGTCCGGCTTCCTCTAAGGATGCTATACCGACTACTATACGGGCTACCACAGCGGCTATATGTAATGAATACGGCGGTCTTGATACTGTGAGGGGTTCGGGGTTTACCGTGAAAGTCCTTAGACAAGTGGGGTATCTGGGATGTGTAATGTAGGGGCCAAAATAACCAAAATAAAGTTTTGAGGTATATTGCACTAGAATCATAATAATCAGGACCCCCCGCCCCCGCCACCCCCCACCCCCCGAAATAGTATTCTTCTTCTTCTGATGGACTTCAGAGCTCCGAAAAGCGCGTCCTGAATTCAAGCAGATGCAAGGGTGAAACAAGGTCGGTTGTCCCAGAATCTGCAAGCCGTCTTTCGCTTGCCTTCGACGGACTTGCCAGCTACGTAGTTCTCTACAGAAAGGACAAAGGCGGGGTCCGGGTGGTAAAGACGCCCCAAAACATCAAGGCAAATGTCTTCCCCAAGAGACTCTGCGACCTCATGGGCCGTAGGTGCAGGAGGACCGAACGCTTGCGCAGCAACTTCGACCGCGGCGTAATGTTGCCACTGTCCTTTCTGGAGGTTTTTCCTGGTAGCTTTGAAGGGAGCTTCCACCTCCCTTAGCTCATCTGGGGTGAGCGGACGAACCACCCATGCAGCGCGGAGGAGGCAGTCACCGTGCTGCTTGTAGTGGTATTGTAGTCTCTCCACAGACCCAAAATGCCGAAGACAGGCAGGGCAAGTGGAGGAATGGGCAAGGAGGCGAGTGGGGGTGACTTCGCCATGGGTTCGGGCAAGGTGAACCCAGAGGTGCTTCCGTAAGACAAAGGTAGAGGAACAATGCGGACAGGAGAATGGGCGCTCTTCAGCAGCACATAGATCCTGGGACGTCCTCTCTGGACCTCGATCCTGCCATTTACGGAGATCCTGATCCCATTGTTTACACGCCTGCTTCAACTGAAGAGTCCACCATTTGGGCCTATCAGTAGCTACCTCGATGAGGGCTCTGAGCGGGCAGGCTGCGGAGGCTAAGACTTTGGCCGATGAAAGGTACTTGGATCGTCGCTGTCGGTTATAAGTGTATAGGAGACTTAGAGAAACGTTTATAGGTCTTAATAACTGTTTATGGCACTTATGCATAACCAGTTATCGGACTTATGTAACTGACGGTAAGTCACTTGCATAAGTCCACTTAGTAAGTGTTCGGGGTGACTTATAAGTCACTTACGGTAAGTCCTATAAGTGACTTACATCACTTAGACCCAGGCACTTATAAGTGCATATAAGTCACTTATAAGTGACGTATACATCCCGTCATTTAGCTTTTATTTTACAATCGACCAAACCCATAAACCCAAAAAAACAAAAAAAACTGCTACCTGGCTTGGACCCTGCTCCTCGCCGGCCGATGTGGCAGCCTGCACAGTGTGCTGTTTTTTTCGGTTTGGGGAGAATGGTTGAGGTGGAGAATTAGTTTTGAATCTAGCTAAAGTGAAGAAGTACTCTAAGTAAGTTTGCTATTTATATGGTCTCGGTGTTGTATCTTACTTTCAGTTATGATGCTGGGCATGCTTGGGGGTTCAGATTTATTATGTAAATTTGGATGTCGGGTTTTGCGGTTCATGGTGCACCTGCTATTTTTGGGTGACAGGTTTAAGCTTAAATCGGCTTTGTATGTATATAGGTCCCCACATGTTAGACGAATAGTGGAATACACGAGAGTTGTGAAGCTTGTTGTTAACTTTCTCGTCGGGGGATCTGGGCTGGCATTTTCTTGGCTTGCTGTCTTCAAAGTGAGGTAAACATATGCTATGACATCTACTTACGGACACGTGTTTTATAGCTCTCCTCGCGAGCTGTATATACATGGTCTTCCGGCTTCGATTAGAAGTGGTATGATATACATATATACATCTATGTATATATTCGGGTTGTACACTTGCAGGCAATATATCTTATATGAGGGTTTGATAAACTATGAGGATTTGGATTGTTCAAAGGTCGCGAGCTTCAGGTATACTGGGTTTCACGAATGCCATGAATTAATACGGCTCAAAGGCTCTGTATATGAGTGCATGCATGAGTGAGTGAGTGAGGGAGTGCATGAGGGAGTGAGTGAGTGAGTGAGTGAGTGAGTGAGTGGGTGAGTGAGTGAGTGAATGAGCGGGTGGAGTGAGTGAGTGAGTGACTGAGTGCACGAGTGAGTGAGTGAGTGAGCGAGTGACTGGGTGGGTGGGTAAGTGAATGAGTGAGAGAGGGAGGGAGGGAGGCAGGGAGGGAGGGAGTGAATGAGTGAGTGCATGAGTGAATGAGTGAATTGAGTGAGTGACTGAGTGAGGGATGAGTGAGTGAGTGAGTGAGTGA